GGTGCAGGAGTGCTCTGCCCCCCCCAGCCGTGAGCTGCTCCCCAGCGCGGGCTGTTTCTGGTAGGAAATGCCCAAAAGCTGGAGACTCAGCCAGGGTCAAGTGCAGCCCTTGCCCATGGGCTGCCACCCGGCCAAAGCAAGCTCAGGAGAATGGGGAAAAGCCAAGAATCAATCTCAAGAGAATGGGGAAAAGCCAAGGATCAATCTCAAGAGAAAGCAGGTTCCCAGGGCTCCATCTGGATCCCGCACCACATCCTGCACGCCGGCAGGCAAAGAGCTGTCAAAGCTCCCTGCAGGGAGCCCAAAGAGCCAGAACCAGAGAGGAGCTGCAGCCACAACCCCTAAAATAAGGACACAGGTCCTCAAAGCATCGCCCTGTCCCGCACCGTCCCCAACCACACCGAGCTGGACACCTCCAGTGCCCACCTCCGAGCAGCCCTCCCTTTGAGCAGGCAGAGATTTCGGTGCAATAACCACTTGCTCGTAGCCTTTCTTCCCAGGGCAACCCTTGTTTTGCCTTTTCCAGGGAAGATTTTTCTTTTTCAAGTGGGAGAGAGGCACCCGAGCATCCTGCTGGCAGCCTGCACGGGCTGAAGGGCAAAGCAGGCAGCAGGAGCCCCACCGCCCGGACCCAGCGCTCCGGCTCCGCTCGCTGGATTACCGGGGATGTTCCCCTCCCCTGGCAGCTTTTAACCGTTATTATAAACTCAACAAGTTGCTGCATCACGCAGTTAAGTGTGGGTATAATGCAGGCTCCTTCCATCCAGTTTCTATTTCGGTCTCGCCCCCCAGCAGCACGGGACCATTCCCTGCTATTGTATCCTCGCTACTTTTAAGCAACCTAAGCACAATGGAGCGTCCCACGCTTCCCCTGGGAAACCACCTTCCGGACAAACACATCCCTCTCGGAGAAACATTTTCCTGATTTCCAGCCCCTTGGAACGGGCTGGATGATGAAATTTCCGTTCTGTGGGAAACTGAATTTTAAAATATGGGGTTTTTTGTTCCAAATCTGGATGAAAAGCCAAAATTTTCTCTTCGAATGAAAAAATTTGGCCAGGAGTCATCCAAGCACTTCATTTCGATAATGCTGAAACACTTAATTTCACTAAAGCAAAAGCATTTTGTTTCAATAACATCAACATGACTATTCTGTCAGCTCTACACGCTGCATTTATGCCAAAATCAAATTGAGACATTTCCACTTTAAACAAAGCAAGAAACTGAAATGAATCATTTCAGCTTGTGCCTTGTCAGAATACACACAGCCCTGCAAAAACTGGGGTGGAAATGTGGTTTTGACTATTTTATAACAAAGTTGCTGGTCCTGGTTTCCATTTCTATAGCTTACTCATTTCATCCACTTCCCTGGGGTTATCATCATCCTCCTCCGATGTTTACACCTTACTGAAGGGTCGGCAGCTTCGGAGCTGAGCTGCTCTCGTATCTCCAGCCAGCGGGTTGGGTTCTTTAGTTTAAACAAGGAATCGAGTCAGCTCCCTCAGCAAGGCTTTGGGAAAGACAATAACAGCTCGGCTTTGGCAAGGGACACGCTCCAGAGCTGTGTGCGCAGCGCACGTCCACCTCCCTGCTCCTCTGATGTCCGTTACCTAACCCTCATCCCACAACCACACCAGTGTCCCTCCCCATGTCCCAGGACTCCCTGCCGTGTCCCCCGTGATCCTACACAGCGTGCACGCACCCGTGCAAAGCACCCAGACGTGCAAACAGCACGTGAGCATGCGGCAACGCACAAATCCAGCACATGAGCTGCCCCGCATCAGCTGGTGGGCACAGAGGGGCTCAGCCTGGGGTCCCATCCTGCTCCCAGAGTGTCCATGGGACACTGCTAGGAACAGAGGGGGCTGGCAGTCCCCCTCCCATCCGTGCTCCAGACTTCAGATACACCACCACATTCAAAGCAGATATTAAACGCTCCCTTTGAAACTAAATTAGTTTGCTCAGGATTGACTGGCAAAATAGATAAGGCGCCGGTGTAATTATTAAAAGCACATTTCCCATGGCATATGCAGAGGTAATTAAAGCGTCCTTCTCCTCCTAGGCAGGGAGCATCCTTTCAGCACTTCTGCAAAGAACCTCATGACGCACCCGCCCAGCTGTTTGGGTCGCCTGCTCTCCTCCCATCAGTGAGCTGTGCTGGTGTTGGTCTCATGAAAGCCCGGGGTGAGGTGCGCTGGGCACACCAAGAGCACAGAGCATAACCGGGCACTCGCCAGGCTCTGGGCAGAGCTGCCCTCAGCATCAATCCTGGCATGAACAGCACCACTCGCCAGGACCGACGCTCGCTGTACCAACACCCTCCGCTCCTATCGCTCCAGATCTCCACGGACAATTACACACATGCTCGCAGGGCTCCTGCTGCCGGGAAGTGACAGCGGCAGCTTGGGGACTGGGGACAGGCACAGCGATGGCCACAGCCCAGTGACGATGTGCGAAGGACCGTCTGTCTCTAGCCAAGCTGGGATTCGGGTATTAACCAGGGGTAAGGCGTGGGGATACACTTCAAAGAGAGCCCGCAGCTTGCTGAGATGAGCTCAGGGACTCAGCGGGGCAAAGAGGACCGGCGCTAAACCCCATCCCTCTGACAAAGGAAGGACCACAGGGCTTTTGCATCTGCTGCCAATCACCAGGGAAACATAAATAGGCAGAGATGCCCCAGTCAAGCTTTTGGCCCCAGTAACTCCGTCTGTCAGTGGGCACTTTCCTATGAATAAATCAGCGGCAGATTGTCCTCACCACCAAGCCATCCCTGTGCCACTGAGCTCCTCCCCAGACCAACCGCGGAGAACAACGCTGCGGCTCCAGGTACAGTTACCTGTACAGCTCCCGTCTAGGGGGATGCTGGGGGTACAACCTGCTTCCACCTCACATGACAGTACACCCACCCTATCCCATCTGACGGTGCAGCGATTGCTGGTTCAGCTTTGCAGAGTCCTGCCCCAGGCACCGGCTCCGGGCTGGGAAACCGGGCACTTGGCAAAAGCCAAACCTTTGCTGTGGACCAGCACAGCCACCCTCACACCTCCTTCCATCACTGGGACCATCTAACGGGCACAATCACCCCCACAAACACCACAGCCGTCTGCAAAGCCGAGAAGCAGCGGGGTCCCCGGATGTCCCCAGCGCCCGCCGCAGCACTCACGTTGATGAGGGCCATGATCCAGAAGGCGTAGGAGACGCGCGTGACCACCATGCCCTTCATCGGCAGGTCGTAATGGGACAGGTTACCCGGGTGGTGCGGGACCAGGGACTTGCGGATGTGAGGGAGGTTGCTGGAGGCGTTGGCCGTGGAGTTTGAGAGGATGCAGTTGGTGTCCGAGAGGAAGGGGTCAGCGATCAGCGGGCTTAGCAGCGCTCCAAAGCCCACGAAGAAATGAAGGGCCTGCAAGAGATGAGACATGCCAGTAGAGTGGGGGGCTCACTGCTCTTTGCAGGGAGCCTGGCCAAGCCCCTCACTCCTCTTCCTCAGAGGAGGAAGCCCAGACAGAAGAGAGACTCGGGCTCCGTGCTCACCTGCAGGAAGATGGCAGAGTCCTTCTGGTAGATCTTCACCAGCTGCATGTTGGAGATGGTGTCGATGCAGCCCATGGCCAGCCCTGCCATGGCCATGACCACCGCCAGGACCACCACATTGTGGCACAGAGGGATGATGGCAAAGACCAAAGAGATTGCCAGCGACGAGGCAAAGAGCGCAAACAAGGACTGAAAAAAGAGGAAGGACAGGACAGAATTACTACCACGAGAGCATTATCCACACCACAGCCCTGCCTCCTGTTTGCAGCCCCAGGTCAGTGGGTGGCATAGGCGATGCACCCACAGGCTGTAGCTCCAGCACACGCTCTTCTGACAAGACAAGGGACATGCTACCCACCCCGCACCCCCATGCCTCCAAGTCCCAGCCAGATCCAGCCTTGGGCACTGCCAGCTCCTGCGTGGAGGGTGATCCTCAGAGAGGTGAATCTTCCACCCAGTTTTCATGGAGAAGAGCAACAATCCCTTCAAACCTGTGTTCTGCTCATTTCAAGGTAGCAGAAAGTCCAAGAACATTCCCTTGTTAACTGGGCAGATCTGGGAATGGAAAAGGACATGGGAAGGTGCAGGCGAGCCCACATTGTGACTTTTGAGCAGCTCCAGAGCATTTGTCCTGCAGGGCTGTACAGCATAAGCAGGCATGAGAGCTGCTGGGCAATCCCACTTTCTGGCAGGGAGAGAGCTGCTTCCCGGCCCTGCCTGCCCGTGCTGTCCTGCCTCGCAGGGACCTGCTGCGGTTCCCTCTCCATGCCCTGTGCTGGCTCTGTTCCTGCAGCATCGTCCATTCCACCAGCAGGACAGAACGGGATGCGGTCCTGCTGCTGCTCCTGGTGCACGCAGCCACTTCCCAACCCGCCGGAGCAGCCCGAGGGATGCGTGTGGCGGAGGTAAAGCCGGTGCATTCCACATCTCCAGTCTGGCAGCAGCACTGGCAG